AATGCTTTTAGTTTGGCTTCAGGTTTGATTTGGATCTCCAACATCTTTGGTTATTGAAATAATATCTCATTCTTCAGTATTAACTTTCTTGTTTTTCTGTAGCTCAGCTCACTTAGTAAAATACGCAAATTTGCCAAAATAACCAATAGATAATTTAACATAAGAAGCTTTTTTTTTTTTTTAAAGATTTTATTTATTTATTCATGAGAGACAGAGAGACAGAGGCAGAGGGAGAAGCAGGCTCCCCGTGGAGCAGGGAGCCCGATGCGGGACTCGATCCCAGGACCCTGTGATCATGACCTGAGCCGAAGGCAGATGCTTAACCGACTGAGCCACCCAGGCGTCCCTTAACATAGGAAGCTTTAAATTATGTCTTAATTATGCTAATGGCAAAATAAAAGATGGGTGGCTTGGTTTATAGTATATTAAAGTAAGTAGCATAAACACGTATTTCATTAGTGCTTTGTTTTTAATCTTGTACTTTGGCAAGGCTTTTACTGTAATAAATGAATTTTCCTTTTCATTGGGAAAAGCCAAGTTACTGTTGTTTTTGGTTATGTACTTGCATTCCTTCAGACTATAATAGTTAAAGACAAGAACTGGTAAGGACTATGTGCCTCTGAGACATTTATTTCTTAGATTTACATGATAATGACCTTATGAATGGTTTCTTATTTTTTCAGTTTTCTTTGAACATTTTCCTGAAAGACACGTGGAGTTAAAATAATGAACAAATATTTTGCATTTATACGAAAACCAGCTAAAAGTGAACTAGTCCTGACTACATACTACCTAGAACTCCTGTGGCTCTGAATTCTCACAGACGTGTATTTTTAGCTGTCCTTTTGACATGTCTAAGGCAAAATTAAACTGCTCCTTCTTGCTTCCCCTTGCTCCTCCTAAATCCCTGTCTTTGTGAATAAGTCAGTGCCCCCCCCTTGCCGCCCAGGTGGAAATCTTGAATAGACATCCCAGCATCTTCCTTGACTTCCCATCTGATGAGTTTTTTTTTTTTTCTTTCTGTGAACTTTTCCTCCAAATTGTTACCCTACTCTGTGTCCTCTCTTTTTGATTTCCCACTGCCAGGCTTGATGCCCACATTAGCCGTTTTGCTGGCCTGCTTGCGGTCTGTCCTCTCCCCACTTGTACTCCACCCCTTCTCTACCCCAGTTTTCTCTGATCAGATGATTGATTGTCTTCATCACCTCCAGTGGTTCTCATCATCCACAGATGAAGCCCAAGCTCCTCAGCATACAGTCAAGCCTTTGCAGTCTAGCCCTGACCTGCTTTTCAACCCTCATTCTCTGCCATTGGTCCTCCTGTGGTCAACATCTCAGCCCCACTGAATGCCAGTTTCCCGATTTGTGCCTATAGCTATGTTGTTTCCCCTGCCCCCCTGCTCCCACTAATGCCATTCTCCTCATGCCTTTCCTCACTTATCAGTCACTGGCCCTCTGGACTTTTCACTGCATGCCTCTGTTAGAGGTCTTGTATTCATGGGTTCCATGCTTCCCATGGGTTACTCATCTATGGGTGTTGGGAAGGAAAGGATCATTTCCTGTTCAACTTTCATTTAATGAAGTCATCTCTCCTTGGCATATAACTTAGCTTCTTCTGTACTGGTTCTTGGTATTATACTGTGACTTCTTGATATATACTATTTTTGGCAGAGTCAGTGAGGTTAAAGTTCCATCCCTAGGTATATAGCGCCAAAGACTTGAAAACAAGGACTCAGACAGATGCTTGTGCACAAATGTTCATAGCAGTATTGTTTATTCACGATAGCCAAAGGGTAGAAACAGCCTAAGTGTCCATCAACAGATGAATGGATAAGCGTAATATGATATATATATATGCAATAGAATATCATTTAGCCATAAAGAGGAATAAAGTTCTGTTACATGTGTCAGCATAGATTAACCTAGAAAACATTACACTAAGTGTAATAAGCCAGACAAAAAGCACAAATATTTTGATTCCACCTATATGAGATTAAAAATAGGCAAATTCATGGGCGCCTGGATGGCTCAGTTGGTTAAGCATCTGACTCTTGATTTCAGCTCAGGTCGTGATCTCAGGGTTGTGAGATCGAGCCCCATGTTGGGCTCTGCACTGGGTGTGAAGCCTGCTTGAGATTCTCATTCTCCCTCCCCCTCAGACCCCCCTCCCCCACAAAGAAGTGATTAGGGGCTGGGGAGAGGGGAATGGAGCATTATTAGGTGATGCGTATAACATTTCTGTTGGAGGTGATGAAAATATTTTGGAAATAGTGGTGAAAATTTTACAACATCGTGAATGTAATTAATGCTGTTGAATTGTACACTTAAAAATGATTAAAATGGCAAATTTTATGTTACATATATTTTACCCCAATTAAAAACATACATAGTTCATATAATTTAAAAAAAAGATACTGACACCACACCCTTAGGCACATATGTTCCAACGTGTGGTTGTATGCATACATGTTCTTTCTGTATCATCTGTGTTTATCAGCCTTACCTTCCCAATATAACATGGATTTCTTGAATACAGGGACCAGTCTATATAGAAAATATCTTTTAAGAAATGGCTTTTAAATATCCTTTAGCAAACATAGGGGTTTGGAGTAGGTTGTTTTTGCAATTGCTGAAACTTTTAGGAGGGTGTTTGATATTGTACTTAAATGTTAATAGACTCAGTCTTGACAAAGTGATATGAAGCTAGTTTGGAACATAATTTGGTATTTCTAACCTACTGTTTAAGAATTGTGCATATTAACCCTGATACCTTTGGAAGGAAAGGCAAATAGCCCAGCCAAGTGTGCTTTAAGTTTTTTCTTTGCTGTTTTAAACAAAAGGCTTGGATAACAAGGCAGTTACATCTATGGATGGGAATCCTACTGATTATTTTCCCTAAATCCTCCTTAAAGGAAATAGAAATTTTTCTATGCTTTCTCTGAGCATAAGTAATTTTAGTCTTCTAGGAGTTAAGGTATATTTCTTCATCTTTTAAGGTCCTATGGAAACGTTTAAAATAAAATCGGTAAATGATGACAAACGAATACAGTATATAGTACAATGCACTTAAAGTACATGTAAATGTGTAAAGCCAAAACCTCTTAAAATCTGGATTGTTTTATTGCTGAGTGCCAGAGTATTCTTTGAAAATAACTGAGATGCAAATGTGAGAAAATGTTAAGCTTTATAATCATCTTGCGTAAATTTCTGTTGTCTCATTCACTGTCAGCCTTGAATTTTGTATTTGGAGTCCACCCAGTAAACTAGTTAGGAGTGATGATGTGATGAATGTTAAAGAGGTTATTAAAAACTAAATTTCTGTGGCGCCTGGGTGGCTCAGTCGTTAAGCACCTGCCTTCGGCTCGGGTCATGATCCCAGGGTCCTGGGATCGAGCCCCACATCGGGCTCTCTGCTCGGCGGGAAGCCTGCTTCTTCCTCTCCCACTCCCCCTGCTTGTGTTCCCTCTCTCGCTGTCTCTCTCTGTCAAATAAATAAATAAAATCTTTTTTAAAAAAAAGAAAACTAAATTTCTCATGGGGCGCCTGGGTGGCTCTGTTGGTTAAGCGTCTGCCTTCGGCTCAGGTCATGATCCCGGGGTCCTGGAATTGAGCCCTGCATTAGGCTCCCTGCTCAGCGGAGTCTGCTTCTCCCTCTGCCCCTCCCCCTGCTTGTGGGCACGCAGTCTCTCTATCTCTCTCTCTCAGATAAATAAATAAAAATCTTTAAAAGAAAAAGAAAACTAAATTTCTCTTGTATGATTGTTCCAGAGGTCAACATTAGAAATTACTGTTAATTTCACCTTCATTACACTTTTTTTGGAAGATGCTTTGGCCAACCAGTGACAGTTCTTTCTAGCAGATTTTCCTATCCCTCCAAACACGGATAGTAAGTGTGCTCTAGGGGAGGTTTGTCTCAACTTTTACTGTGTATTCGAATCATCTGAAGATCTTGATAAAATGCAGGTTCGGATTGGGGGGACGGGCGTGGATGATGAGATTCTGCATTTCTAGTAAGCTCTTAGATGCCTGGTCTATGGACTACATTTTGAGCAGCAGTGCTCTGGGTAGAAACCTGTTTCAAATACCTGATTTTGATGTGCTGTTAATACTGGCTGCCCTCTAGGTTTGCCAGATAAAATACAGGATGCTCAAGACGTCCCATTCACTATTTTTGCACATTACCTGTACTACAAAATAACTCATTTATCTGAAATTTAATTTTCACTGGACTGGACACCATATAGATAGATACATACAAACACACCCCAAATCACAACCCTAAAATGCAATTTTAATAATTTCTGAGTACATTTAAATGTCATGCATATTATTAGATTGAAAAGAATATGATTATTTTCAGAAAAGGACTCAGAATTACGTTTATTTCAGACTTTCTTTTTTTGAGAGAGAGAGAGCGCGCGCGCAAGTGGGGGAGAGGAAGCAGGAGAGGGAGGGAAAGAATTTTAAGCAGGCTCCTCGCTTTTTATAATTTATAAAAGCAGTCCTGTTTTTAAGACCATCACTTGCTGTGTTTCTAAAACACAGGGCTCAATCTAACGACCCTGAGATCATGATCTGAACCGAAACTGGACGCTTAAATGACTGAGCCCCCCAGGCACCCCTCAGACTTGTTTTTTAAGTACTTATTTAGATGTTTTGCTCATAGGCTTTTCAATACAATAAAATATGGAAACATGACTGCACCCCCTCCAATATCTAGGGAATTCGTGGAAAAATAGTGAAATCTGTACATTCTAAAATATACCTGAAAGCACAGAAGTGCCCTGTGTTATCAGTGTTGAACACTCGAAGTAATAAGATGTTAATATGATAGATTTGAATTTAGACAATCTTTATAGTTTTGTCTTGTATCTCTTTGAGTTGGTACTGTGCACTGTTGATATTTCCAAATCCTGTATATAGTAACATTACATGAGAATAATCTTTGATTTTTTTCAAGTGTATGTAAGAAAATGTAAATGCTTTTCTTTGTTTTTCCAGATTCTTTACAGAGTTGGAAGCAAGACATCAGAATAATATCTTCATAGATGATATAAGTGACATTGTGGAAAAGCACACAGCGTCCACATTTGACCCGTATGTGAAATACTGCACAAACGAAGTCTACCAACAACGCACACTACAGAAATTGTTGTAAGAGATGTTGTTGAATGTTAAGTGAATAGCCTAACTGCACTTTAATTAGGTTACACTGATTGAAATTAATTGATCTCTTACATCATGTTTAGAAATGCCTCCTTATGGGCTGTTTCCCAGGACTGCTTTCAGGGTGAGGGTGTTTGAATAGAAAATCTAGTCTGTGGACAACTCTCTCTCTAAAGCAATTATGAAATTACAGGTTTCTGTTACTGTTTTCCTTGTTGTTGTTAAATTGCTGCAAGACACAGAGGAGTGATCATCATTCTAAAACTCCCATTTTTCTAAGCCATTAGCTGGCCATTGAGTAGTTTGCCTGAGGCCAAGCGAGTATTTGAGTTGAACTAGTCCTAGGATCCAGATTCTCTACTCTTCTAACCTTCCTCCGTTCAGGTGACAACTCTATTAAGTTTTTTATAGGAATTGCTGATTTTCCCCTTCTGGGTAGTTAGAAGTGAGGAGAGAAGGGCAAGTCTGAAGGAAAGCAATAGAGAAAAATGTTCTTAAAGGCTTTAATTGTGCAACAAAAAAGAATGAAGCTTTAAATTTCCCTCCTCACCTTTTTCCCTTTGTCCTATTCAGGTTACTTAGAGTTTTGATGCGATGTGTATGGCTTTAACCTTAAACGTCAGCGATTGTTCAGTAATGTCTTGTTTTATGTTGGGGGACCCTGTTTATCTCACGTAGCTATCTGTTTTCCAGCGCAGTGTGAATTGCCATAAACTCCGTTTGGGGGCTGAGGGCTATTATCACTCATACCCCCTCCATGGGTTGTGGCATTTATGACCACAGCGTGGAGCTCTGGTCAGCTGCTGTGCAATATGTGAGCCCCTGTGGAGGGATTGGGGTTGGTGCTGAGAGGAACAGTCCACTGAAGCTCCCAAGTCGCTGGGAAGGGCTGATTGTGCCCCTTCTCCCTCCACACCCTCATGAAACGCTTGTGTGGGCTGGGTGGGAAACCAACCCCAGATGAAGTTTTGAAGTACAGAGCCGGGTTTGTTGGTACTGTTGACATTTTGGTCTAGATAAGTCTTTGCTGTGGGTGCTATCCTATGCATTGTGGCATGTTTTTAGAGCATCCCTGGTCTCTGTGCACTAGATGCCCCTCACTCCAGTTGTGACAACCAAAAATGTTTCTAGACACTGCCAAATGTTCTTGGAGGCATAATCTCACCCCTTGCTTTTCTTAATCCCCCACCTGCCCTGGGACCCCAGATAACTGATAGAAGATGCAAGTTACATGTTTGAAAGCAAAGCCTTGAATTAGAGCTAAATTTCATTTTGTTTTATTTTATTTTGCAGGATTTATAAAAGGTGAATAGGTACTCCTGTAACTCAAAAAATAAAGGTTCTAGGGGCACCTGGCTGGCTCAGTCTGTAGAGCATGGGACTCTTGATCTCAGGGTTGTAGTTTGAGCCCCATGTTGGGTATAGAGATTACTTAAAAATAAAATCTTTAAAAAAGAAATAAAAATTCTATCTGAATTAGCTTAATGATACCATCATTTGAGCTTTCATATGGAAAATGGTAGTTGTGTTTTCAGGGGTTTTGTTGCAAGTATTGTGAATTTACATTTAGGGCAGTGACTAGCTGCACACTGGAAATGCTTGAGCATCTTTGAACACAAGCAAACATGCCATAGATGCTCAGGGTCCATCCCAGACTATTTAATCAGAATCTTTGGGGGTGAGGGTCCCAGGACCTGAGTGATTTAAATATGCAACTGGTTTAGAGTTTGATTTTTTTTTTTAACCTACTAAAAATCCTTTGAAAGCTAGCAAGTAAGGAAACTTAAAGTTCCTCAATTTGAGAAAATGAAAATAAAACATTTCTGTATCATTTCTTTTAATTTGCTATTCTAGGTATTTACTGATTTATGAACCAAAACATTTAATTTTCAAAATACATTTTTTTAAAAAGGTCCCAATTTCCACTTCCCTGCTTCTCCGGCTCCCCCTGCTCTCCAGCATGAGATTACAGTATCCAGTCCCCTTGCCCTGCTCCCCAACATGGGATTACAGTATCCAGCCCCCCTGTCATGGGATGACAGTATCCAGTCCCATCCCTCTGTCCCCTCCCTGTTGTAAGTTATAAGGGAACTCCTCAGAGCTCCTCGTGGGTGAAGTGAGGTGAGAGAGAAAGAGATCTGGGGGTAAGGGCACCCACTGAAAGTCAGAAGACCTTGGTTTGACTCTGTCTTCACCAAATACCAGGTGTGTTACTTGGCAAGTGGAAGATCCTTCTGAGACTCCATTCTTATGGGAATCCCCTCTTGGCCCTCATTAAAAGTTGTATGGATGTTTCCATGTGAGGTCATATCTGTGGGTGCATCTTGCTAAGTTCCATAAAAATGTTGTGGCAATATTACCACTGTTCTTATGTCACTGGGAGGGGAGAAATATTCTGGCTGGCATGGTCAGAAAGGTTTCTGTCTCAGAAGCTTTGAAAAAGGCCAGAAGCCTCCTAGTAAATAAATCCAGTCTGATATTTCTTTCTTAGATTATCATCTGGGGCTAGAGAAGTGACTTAAAACATCATTTGTTATCTTTTTAATGGAATGCATATAGATTATCAGATAGGAGATCTAGTCTGTACGCTAGTTAATAATTGATCCATTCACAGATAACGTTCACCATTCTGATACCATTGCCTCTTCATTTGTTTACTTCCCACTTCTATAAATTTCTAGCTCATACATTTCTTATTGCTCATATTATCTTAAACGCCTATCTTATATTCAGTTTTTACTATAAAAGGCAGACAAGCCATCTGTGTCTATGTAATTTTTGTCATTTTATATATTAAAAATCATAATATATGAATTTTAAAGAACATTTTATACAGGCATACCTAGTTTTATTGTGCTTCACTTTATCGCACTTTTAACAGAAGGTTGGTGGCAACGCTGCATCGAGCTAGTCTGTCGCCGCCATTTTTCCAACAGCGTTTGCTCACTTGGTGTCTCTGTCACATTTTAGTAATTCTCACAATATTTCAAACATTTTCATTATTATTATATTTGTTACGGTGATCTGTGGTCAGTGATTACGGCTCACAGAGAGCTCAGATGATGGTTAGCATTTTTTAGCCACGAAGTGTCTTTTAATTAAGGTATGTACATCATTTTTTTTTTTTTAAGACATAATGCTCTCGCACACTTAGTAGACTACAGTGTGATGTAAACGTGACTTTTATACACACTGGGAAACCAAAAATTCCTTTGATTCACTTTACTGCAATATTTGCTTTAGTGTAGTGGTCTGGAACCAAACCCACAATATCTCTGAGGTATGCCTGTGATATGTTTTTACTTCTTAATTTGAGGAGGACGTATTTTGAATTTCTTCTTTCTTTATTTCTTCTCAGAGCCACCAACCCATCTTTTAAGGAAGTACTATCACGAATTGAGTCCCATGAAGACTGTAGGAACTTACCCATGATCTCTTTCCTCATTCTCCCCATGCAGAGGGTGACTCGCCTGCCCCTGCTAATGGACGTAAGACATGATCTAATGGCTCTTTCCTCTTTGGGTAGCTGTGTTGCTATCAATCTGGTTAAGAAAATTATTCTTATTTCACTTAAATCAATGTGCTATATCTCTTCTTTAAAATCCTCCAACTAAGTGAAAAGGTGCTATTCAGTTGGGAAGTCTCACTGTGTTTAATATCTTTGGAAATTACCTTCAACTTAGGCTTGTGTGGGCACTCCGAAGATTTCAGATTATATCACTTGCTTAACATTTTTTGAAATGGGAAAAATATTGGCTTATTGAAGACAAGAGGCTTGGATTCCATTTCCAGCTGAGCCACTAGGCATGTGACCTTGGGCAGGTCACTTAATGTCTTCAGCCTCAGTTTCCTCAGACTAATCACCAAGATCCCTTCCCTGGAGGGTTCCAAGAGGCTGTGGTGCTTCTACTGCACATGGGGATGAGATACTCCTCAGCATTAGAAGGCATGAGCTTGCCCTTATTTTCTATTGCACAAAGGCCAGCGTCCTTATTGTTTCAGGGAACATTCACGAAGAAAACAAGGATTTTGATTTTGAATGGTGGCCATGACTGGGGGTGGTGAGCAGAGACTGTCTGGTCTGAAGTGCAGCTGGGAGGACAGTGAGGCAGGTGGGTGGGGGTGGGCAGGGTCGGGGGGTGGGGGGACCCTGCTCATCAGCTGGGCTGGAACCACAGCAGCAACTACGAGAGAAGAACCAGGTGGCCCAGCACAGCTCCCAACCGGCTAGTGGGCCAAATAGTATCTTTTTGATCAAGTTAAAATATTTTGCTGTAGTTTTACTTTAAAACTGGATCATAATGTAAATGTCAGTTGCAACATACTTGATTTTTGCATGTCAAAACACAGGATAAAAATACAGCAAAAAACTATGATTAAGGTTACAAAACAAATTCCATTTTCCATATTCCATTATAAATTCACAGAGATTTTCTAAAAGCACTGACATTTTGCAATGAGTAAAAGCATGTGATCATAGTCACTTTGTTGGCTCTGCTGCCTGGTTTGGGGGCGTAGGGGGTTGGTCATTGTCTCAACACCCTGCTGCTCTCCAGCTTCACCTCAATTTACTACCTTCATATGCTTCCCTTGTGATTCTCTCCTTGTGAATATTGGAAAACTTGCAGAATTTTGAAACTTCAGCACTCTGATTTTTTTTTTTTTTTTTTTTTGAGATCAACATTTCTCATGTCTAAGGATAGAACGCAGCCAGGTTATCAAAACCAAATTATGGCTTAAAAAAGGTTTATTTGTAGGTTCCATCCACACTTCTTCCCTGACTCTCCTACTCTGCATCTTTGTTCACATTGTCGTTGGCTGTCACTTCTCAGCTTTACAACTAAAACAAGCACGTCTTTCAGGCACTAGCTCTAATGCTCCTTCGTTCATGAAGCCTTACTCAGTGCCCTCCTGAACAGATACATCTTCCTCCCCATCTGAACACCCACAGCACTTTGAGAGAAGGGACTCTGATAGGTAAACTTGGTGTCCTTGGAGCCTTGTGCCTTTTGGAGTAAGATCTGGGCACAAATTCTGGTTCTCCCACTTACAATATGATCCCGGACAAATTGCCTAATTTCATCTGAAGCATAAGTATAGTATGTACTTGAAGGATTGGCATGAAAACGAATGAAGTAGTAAATGTTAAGCCTGACAATAGTAGGCACTCAGTGTTTTTTTCACTAAATTCGTGTATATAGTATACGGGCTTGTCCTGAGTTATGTAAACATTGTGAATTTTTCAAAGATACTGAGGAGCAGCTACTGTACTTTCTTCCATAAGATTTTATCCATAGTAAAAAGTCATTTAAAAAGAGTTTATAAGATTACTAACACTTTCATAAAAATATGAAACTTTGATCTAGAGAAATATTTCAAATTTTGATATTTTTAAAATAAGAAATGGGTACTTTCTAAATACAACATTTCTTGCAATGTTAAGAATTTTCAGGGTTCTTTTTCATTTGAAAATGTATTTTAGGCATATTTCTTTAGATTCTGTATATGCTGTGATCTCTCAGCCTTCTATATTTTCTCTGTTTAATTTTGGGAAAATTGCTTGAATGCATTGGGACTCACAGAATCTAACATACTGTGTTGTACCATGTTGGAGAGTTAATGCCATGAATGGCCAGTGGACTCAAAACTTTTTTGGGTCAGAGACCCTTTTGAGATTCTGAGTAAAGCTAGAGTCATTCTCTCTAGAAAATGCGGTATGCATAAAATTTTACATAAAATTGAAGTGTGCAAAGACAGCTCAGGACTCAGGATGTCTGCTTTCAGGGACATAAACCAGTATTTTTCATACTGCTTCTGTACACATTAGTGGGTCATGAAATTATTTTTGAATCCTAAGCAGTGTTTATTAAAAAAGTGAAACAGGGGTGCCCGGGAGGCTCAGTCGGTTAAGCATCTGCCTTCGGCTCAGCAGGGAGCCTGCTTCTCCCTCTCCTCCCTGCTCAGCTCCCTCACTGTCTCTGTTGCTATCTGTGTCTCTCTCTCTCAAATAAATAAATAAAATATTTTTTTAAAAAAGTGAAATAGAATAGAATGTGTGGAATGTGATATGTAAACAGTTCATAATATGATTAGTTATTATTTTTTAAAACCTTTTTTCATTTTTATATACACATGTACTGGTTGCTAACGTAAATGGATTTCTTACAGTGGGCCATAGTAAAAGATTTGAGAACCATTAACAAAAGCCCACAGATGGTACACACTCTGCTTCTCACAGAGCACATACAACAATCTTGACACCTGACTTTCAGATTTGTAGGCCTAGTACTCACTTACATTCAAGATACCAGTTCCCAGCTTACCTTCCACTTCTGTTTGATGCCTGCTGCCATAATCAATTTCCCAAATGTGAGAATCTGGCCGCCTGGGCAGAATCTAAATGTACTTAAAGCATAGTCTCTTCAATTTTACTTCATTTGGAGAGCTAGTTAAATTTGTCAATTGAGATGAACATTTTTAACAATTAAAATGATTCCATTGGCCTTGAATGGATATGGTTTAAAAATTATTTGTATCCCCATTTACCTTGAATTGACCCTCTTTGAAGTCAATTTTAGCATCACAAAAATTGCGGTGTAACTATATCAAGAGAAAATCTGGTAGCCTGTTTTTCTTTTTTTAAAGATTTTATTTATTTATTTGACAGAGACACAGCGAGAGAGGGAACACAAGCAGGGGAGTGGGAGAGGGAGAAGCAGGCTTCCCGCCAAGCAGGGAGCCGGATGCGGGGCTCGATCCCAGGACCCTGGGATCATGACCTGAGCAGAAGGCAGACGCTTAATGACTGAACCACCCAGGCGCCCCTGTTTTTCTTGATCTTTTTATTCAATGGTATTATCTACAAACATAGTTACCTTGAGTAATGATGATGATGGTCATAATTAGTTTTATCATTCATTGAGGGCGTACTGTATGACAGGCATTCATAAAGAACTGTACATGTATTATCATTTAATCCTGACAATAGCCTTGTGACATAGTTGGCTTTGTCCCCATTTTACAGATGAGGAAACAGGCTTATAGAGACAGGGTAGGTGACTTGCCCACAGACAAATAGCTAGTAAGGGACAGAACTTGGATTTGAAACCAGGTTCCTCCACCCCTGAAGTCCATTCTCTTATTTAATCATTCCCTGGATTTACTTGGATCCTGTGCATTTAAAGACTGTTTGCTAGTTTTGTCATTGGATTTTAATGTAATCTTCATACTCATCCATAATGTTGTGTTCAGCATTGTTAAGTTTGCTATGAGTAAGAGGATGGGACTGGGCCTTGGTTTTATTTTACTAAATAAATAAACTGATTGATTTTTGTTTTTCTTTTACTTCACTGCAGACTATCTGTCAGAAAACACCGAAGGACTCTCCGAAGTATGAGGTCTGCAAAAGAGCGCTAAAGGAAGTGAGCAAGGTAACTGTTGAATAGCTAGCTCATCACACAGTAAACTGTTCAGCATCTCGGGAGAGTACACATCTGGGTTTGATGCTAAACATTGGGAGTTCTCAAAGCCATTCGCACAGCATTCTTTAGGTAGCTGAGAAACAAAATAATGTTTGCTGCACTCAAATGAAATTAGTATTTTTATTGTTTTATGCAGTCTTGCTGTAAGGGCCAATAGAGATCTCATTTTCTCTTGGTGTCTGGATAGTCGTTTACTCATTCTTTCATTAAATAGCTATTTACTGAGTATCAACAACTGTGCCAGGCATGATGCCAACCCCTGAAAATATGATGGTGCAGACATAAGACAGTTGTGGTTAATGCCATCATGCAACATGCTGTGTAAAGGGGAAGGCAGGTGTTAGGCAAGAATTACAATAAAGGTTGGGGAGTGACATGGTAGTGAAGAACATAGTGATGTTTAAGCTGAAACCTAAGGCAAGCTGAGCTCTGAACCAGAGCTTGGGGGCGGGGGGGAAGAGAGTGTCTCAGGTACGTGTAGAAACCCAAAGGCGGGGCGCCTGGGTGGCTCAGTCGTTAAGCGTCTGCCTTCGGCTCAGGTCATGATCCCAGGGTCCTGGGATCGAGCCCCACATCGGGCTCC